AGACATTTCTAAAATTCTGTTTTCACTTTGTCATTATGTGTACTGAGTACAGAGTGTAGATTAATGAGAAAAAAAATGAATTTGAACGATTGTAGTATCAGGCTGCAACATAACAAAACTGAAAAAAGTGAAGGGGGTCTGAATACTTTCCGAATGCACTGTAATTCAATATAAGGCAGCAGAAGAAGGGAATGGAGATGGGGACAGAGGAGAAAGGTAAATCGGTGAAGAAGTATGGCGTTTACTTCAGCTGCTCATGTAGCCTTAGTGATTGTCAGCTACCGGAACAGAATAAAGTCTTTCTACCAAGAGTTTAGACCCTCTGGGCTTTTTACTAGGTAAGAGGAGATGGCAGGAGTTGAAAGTCAGGGTGCAGCCCAAGACGCCTGCAGAGATTGCTAACTGGAAATATATTAAATAAAAGCCTGGTTCAGATTTTGCTCTGTCCTCTCTCTTGGAACGTGGTCCCCAACACACCGCTCTGAGGCCAAGTGCCATCCTCAGCTTGGAAGAGTTGCACGTCATGGGTTATGACCTAAAAGACTGCTTAAAGGTTTAATGGAAGAGGTGGATAATGTATCTGCTTTCTCTGCAGTGGCCACAATTCATCCTGATACAAATGAAGTGATATATCACCATACAGTGGGTATAATGGCGTCAAAGGTGAGAGAGGTGTGGGTTTAAAACAGATCTGATGGGAATTAAGTAAAAACAAATCTGTTGAGTCTCCCATATTTGCATTCACTTTTGTTCTTGCCTTTTCCTTCCTTCCTAGTGGCTCCTCTTTTGTGGGGAGAACTTGTCTGTCCCTTTAACCTACTGAGATATGTACATTTCTGGCTGTCGTTCCACCTTTTGTGTGAAGTTTCTCTCTCTCTCTCTCTCTCTCTCCCTCCCTCCCTCCCTCTCTCTCTTTTTTTTTTACATGTATACATCATACTAAACCAAAATGTGATTTGCTGTTTTGTGGCTTAACCAGCCATTTGTGATTAAATTAACTGTACTTATTTATTTAAAATATATCTGTACCACTTCCCATTAAAAAATCTCAGAGCAGTTTACAGTTAAAAACAGAAGGTTAAAACAAGTAATAGAAGCTTTGAACCAGTAAACCATTACTTACTGTGAACTATAAACACAACATAAATATTTAGGTTGCAAGGAGGTATAGTTTCCAAAAAAAAAAAATACTCATATCAAATGAAAGTTATGGTTGCTATTAATGTCTGCATTCTCCAAACAGCAGTTAAATAAGATTCGCTTGTATTCCTATCTGATCTCATAGGAAAATATTACTTAAAATAATTAGGCCAACAAACAAAATATTAGCAAGGGTTAGCAAATTAGACATTTTATTCCCTTCGCTTTGAGCCATAAATCTCAATCTTTTATCCCTCCCTCCAAAAGTTCCATCAATTACTTTCCTATATTAATGGCACTTCTGTGGCAGATATATAATGGTTAATACTGTTTTTGCCACCCAAGACTTTACGACTATCCTTTCATTTTAAAAATAAATTATTTGAGGAGGGGGGGGAAAACTAGTCTTTTTTCTATGTATATTCACCTTGAAATCATAAAGAGCTAAAAAAAACATACTGGGTCCAAAAAAACCCATAGATACTGAGTTTTGTAAACTGAAAAATAATAATAACTAGATCTCAACTTTGAAAGTGAGTGAGGATTTGGACCTTGGCAATTACACATTACATTACACATCCAAGCTTGCCCAGTTATGGCACCAACCTCCCAGGATGTCAAGTGACAAAAGCTGGCCTTGTGGTCTCTGCGTGTCCCATAATGAGATGATTAGCTGCTATATAAAGGTTTGGGATTAAGTAGAGACTGTGCTGCAAGGATTGACAATTTAGTGTCCTCTGGCTATCTTGGATTATAATTTCACTATCCTTTGCCATTGGCTATGCTGTCTGATAGGATTTGAGGCCCCAGAATACCCGGAGGTCTCTGCTTGGCATAACCTTGCTGTACTGTAACTAGGGATCTACAGTCAGGTTTTTTTTTTTTTTGTCTGCGCTCAGTCATTGCT